GCTCAAGTCTGCTATACCCTACAAGGAGGCATTCGAGAATCTTTCCGTACAAGATGTGAATTACTGTTCCAGTCCTACCTCGGAAGAATGGGAGGAGATTGTTACAATGAAAGATTTTCTTTCCATCTTCAACACAGTTATTTTATGTAATCTTTTATCAAATTATCTTACTCTTATTTCTTCTTTGTTGATTTGACTTTGTTTCAATTTTTCTGCTTAGCAACTTTAAAATTAGGTATGACTTGCAATCCAACTACCCACATGGTGAAGATTGATAAGCAACTAAAATATAGCCTCAAATTGGGTCCACAGCATATCATCAATCTCATCAGCCCTATATGCAAGAGAAATACAACAAATACTGGGAAAAAATTGAAGAGTTTGCGACAATAAGTCGTGTGTTCCACCCACGCTACAAGCTTGCCTTGATTGAATTTACACTATCCCAACAAACCAAATCACAATCCAATTTGAACTCAGCTCCAATAACAATTGATCAACTCAAGGAAACAATCTTCACTTGGTTCAACAAAGTGGCTTCCAGATCAACTCAACAAAAAAGCTCCTCGGATACATGCTCCTCCCAGGATAAAGACAAGAGCAACAGATTACTCAACAAGAAAGCCATAGACAATGACAATACTGCCTGATTCAAACAGTTCCTTGCTGGAAAGAAAATAACAAGCACATCTTCCAATTCAGCAACCACAGAACTTGATCTATACTTACAAGAAGCTGCTGTTGATATTGATGCTGCACCATTTGATCTCCTCAATTGGTGGAAGATCAATTCCCTTTGTTTTCCTACTCTTGCAGTCCTTGCCAGAAATATCTTGACAACTCCGGCGACATTAATTGCATCTGAGTCGGCTTTTTCAACTGGCGGCAGGGTTATCAGTGATTCTTGAAACCGATTGAAGCCAGAGACACTGGAAGCGCTTGTCTGTGCGCAAGACTGGATTACTACCGACAAAGGGCTCTCTGAATATCTTAACTTGGATGATACAGAAAGTCAATCTGATCAACTTAGTTTTGAATGACCTTTTTTCATTACATGTTTTCTCTTTTTTTTTCCAAAAACTCACATAAACTATAAGAATATATCTGATAAAGAAAGTATAAAAAATAAAAAAAGTAAGACTGACAAAATACACAATCACATTAGATAAATTACACAATCAGTTATTTGATTGATCAAAATAAAATACACATTAAGTTACAAAAAGTTGTCTTTTTCTGTTTCTATTGCTTAGAAATGTAAATATGCTTAAAAAAATTTGTTCCAAGCCTGACCCAGAAAGTAAACCGCGACCCGACCTGCCTGCTCTCCCAGGTGGGCCGGGTTTGGGCAGCATTATTGACTTTATGACCCAACCTGCCACTTTTTCCGGGTCGGGTCTGGGCACTGTTTTTTGACCCAAACCTGACCCGGTTTCATCCTGACCCCCCCCCCCCCAATGTTGAGGCAGGCGGGTCCAAGGCGGGTCATGTCTGACCCGAGCAAATACAGCACTGCAATCCCAAACTGTTTCATTTATCTTGAGTTGTTGTGTTTATATACTGTAAGAAACATATTTATAAGAGTAGAACAGAATTTGTGTGTATATTTGGCATTTGGTTTGTGTATAAATATAAAAGACAATTGGATTCAAGAAAAGAGGTCTCAGGCATCACTTGTATAAAAAGAAATAAAATGTAGAAGAAAAAGGAAGGTGAATTTGCAATCTCAGTCAATAAGTTTGACTTCATCATTGTCTTCCTCATTCTCTTCAGGGTTGTTGAGGGTGGAAGAGACTGGAAGTGGATATCCACTGATCCAGGAACCGGAGAGTGAGACTACTGGGATATCAGATATCTTCATACCCCCTACAGGGGTCTGAGGTCTGGACTCCTGGTAGTACAGTCTCCTACTAGTACCATATGGTTGGGTCAGTGGGCATAAGACGGGCCAACCCAAGCACAAGCTGGGTCAGTGGGTGGTCCATGCTCGCCCTGCTGACCCATTGGGTTATTCTTGGGCCAGGTTGCTTTTTTCGCAGTACAAATCCAAGCTCGCCCCACTAACCAGCGGGTCTCAGGTACCTGCCGGGCCGCCCCGGCCCACTCGCATCCTGAGCTTGAACTGATGTCACTTTTCATCTAGTGATCATTTACTTTTCCTGGTGCCAAAGACAACTTGTTTGATTAACTTGAATTTAATGCTGGAAGGATTTGATCCAGGTAAATAAGGACCTACAGTATGATTGAACAGGAGAGGTTCTTCTGTGGTAATCAGGTTCTGTATGATGATTGAATCAGATGAATTCATGATGGGATGGACTGGTGATAGCACCTGCAGTGTGTTGTGGAAGGATGATTTCATTAGACTGAAAGAACACAAAAGAGAAAATAAAGAAAAACAGAAAGATGGTAATGAGGGAAAGAATGAAGAAAGAGACTGCATACCTGGTAAAAGCACAAGTGTGTTGTGGCAGGATGAGGAAAGGATTACTGAAGTTCTACAGTGCTGTCCCAGGTCAAGTACATGATAAATGAATAACATGTGAAATCAGAGTGACTGACATGTATCAGGCAGAGAAAACACATGAAACAAGTTCAACAATTCCTTTAGGGGAGTTCTATTCCAGGTCCAAATAGAATGATAACTCCATTCAACTTGGAATAAATTATCCTGACTGATCAAGGTGAAAATCTTGATTGACTGGGAGTAAATCATGTCAGCTGATTGAGCTTTATATACAACCCATCAAAACCAAAGGAATGTTGATAGGCATAGGGACTAAAAATTAAGATGATTGCAAGGCTCACAGAAATTGTCTGGAATTTCAACAATGAGAAACAAATGAGTTGAAAAAGTGGGCTGCTTGGTAAAAACATTGCCAAGTGCTACAACTACTACAAGTGATGAAATTTCACAACAAGGCAACAAGGAAGGGAGGGAAGAATGACCTGAAACAAATCTTGAGGCTGAAATGCAGAAGGAAAAAACAAGGTCTAAGAGCTGCTAGCGTGAGTGGAGGAAAAGTGCCCATGCTACATTTTCATTTCCTGACTTAGGTAGCACAAATATTTTCTAAATACAAGTGATGGCTAAGTTGTGGGACAGAATTAGGTGAAAGAGAATATTCAACTGGAAATGAGAGAAAAAGGAGTGACAATTGTGTGGAAGAGAAAATTAAAAAAGGGGGGAAACAAGAGGACAGCTAATTAATTCCAACAACAAGAATTTCTTCATTCAAGCCGGATTTGTCATCTGAACAAGGAATACCTTCTTAGTTTCAAGCTGCCAGCCCATCAGAAATACTCTTGGGAGGAAGTCATACAAAAACTCATGCTTTCCTTCCCCTGACCCCCGGTGTGGTGGTCCAGGCTGTTGTGCGCAACAAAACTGCCAAAACCCCTACCTTATAACCTAAACCACTTACATATATGAATATATTATTACATAATCAGAATCTACATACAATTTTACCCATAGTCACTCACTACAACTATACCTCTATCTCTATTAGCTTAGAAGATAATCCAATATAAAGGTTAAAGCCATACCATAACTAGTCATTAATTAGTATTTAATAGTAGTTTACCACATATATATATGTACATAAACATAGATTATTACATCAGCAGGCCTCCACCAGTAGTGCAGGGCAGTTATGCAACTCTTGCATGCATATGTGCAACCATTAGACCTCCACTTAGTAACTTAATTGAATTTACGCAGACTTTGCATAAATGCATGTGGACAGAAAAACCTCCACCAGGCAGTGCAACCAGTTATGCAATCCTTACATACAGTAGTACCATATTTAGTTATTTCCACAGCATAATTAGCTCAATGCATGTACTCTTTGCAGGAGGCAGTGCAACCCACAAGGTCACCACCAGCAAAATCACCTCAACTGCATCCCCACCAGCAAAAATAACTCAGAAAAGAATATATAAGGAGGCCTCTCCTTCACCAATTCCCCCCATCATCACCCAGCCAGCACAGTACCCAGCTAGCTCAGTGGTCAAACACCATCATCACCCAGCCGGTTCATCCCCCCCAGCCAGCTCAGTGGTCATCATCATCCAAGTCTAGTCAACACTAGTAACCACAACAACACCAACACCAACACCAACACCAACACCAACATCAACATCAACATCAACAACAACAACCAACAGTTTCACTACTTATCCAGAATCACCATAAAACCATAAAACCCTATAAAATATTCCACTTGGATTGTTTTCACACTCACATTCACCGTGTAAAGGTTGTACAACCATCTTGTATTGAATTACATACTGATCTAGGTCTGATAGAGACTACTACATATAAAGTTTTCTCCATCATAAAGTTACGCCACAACAATAAATTCAATTGTTGTCAGAATTCTTGTGTAGTAAATAGAGGGGCAGGTCTTTCAAACCACCCGTAACAGTAAATATTATCTAGTGAAATATCATTATTGTTATTTCCCCCTCAAGGACTGCCAACCCATCCCAAAGGAGTTCTCACACCGGCCTCCCCCTTTTTCTTCAACATGTTATTTTAGCAAAAAAAAAAAAAACAATGAAGAAGGGGATATGGAAGAGCCTTTCCCAGTAACGGATATCCGCGGGGTCAGGATCTCGAGACACCGGATCAGAACCAATTAGAAGACACAATACATTTGATCTGGTCGATCTGCGAGCTAAGGGTCGGATCGGCCTCTTCCTCCCAGTAAGTACTTCAAGACCCTACATATTAAGGGGCGCATGATTCTGTCAGAGCAAGGAGACTGTTTTGATGAGTTTCAAACCGGCCATGAAGTCTGGATGGTGAAATATTGCAAGAGGTTCTAGATCACTATTGTGCCGATCGGATCCAACATTAACGGTTAATGAAACACCCATCTCCACAACCAACATAGGTAATTATTAAGGTTGATGACCACTGCTAATCATCAAGCTTTTGGTGAAGTGAACGATCGAACCTGGCCAAGGGACAGTTTTCGTTCAGCTGGGCCCAACCAGCCGATCTGCTCAAGATCAAAAAAACGCTCTCACAGGTGATTAGAGAGATGCTCATCAATCCTGGCAATTATGTAAGCTATGGAGCCCAAGGATTCTGATCCTGTGCGATTTCAGCTGTTTCATAAGCCAAGACTCGAGAAACGAATCGCTTGAGTAAGCCCTTGGCCGTTTTGCCTGCTGATCATCATATAACACACTCGGCGGTGCACTGATCTTATCGAGCCGCCACTCCGGCAGCCGGCTCGTCAATCCAATCGGATAATCATCAAGTTGACGTCATGATCGACTGCTTCCCTCATTGCATTTCACACAACAATGCCGGCTGCACAATCATCCTCCCCCCAGAAAGATCGAGGTGAAAACACGGCAGAGAGCATACAGTCAGCCTGGTTTTGAACATAGTCGTTGAAATCTTTACAACCGCCGACGACTGGATGAGCCAGCTGAATGGTGATTGCATAGAACAGCTGGCGAAGGACGACTGACAAATACGGAGAGCTTGATGATGATTACAGTTCCAGATGACATCATGATCGAGTGCTCACACCAAGACCGAGTGGCTTCGACGAAAGATTGCTGGCAGCCTGGATCCTCATTGCAACTTTGGAGGGCAGACCACCGGGCTATAAATACCTACTGGATCCCACTGCTTCTTCACCAGCCAACACCCACAACACTCTCACACACCAACAAACAATCGAAAACTATCTTAACCTCAACCAATAAACCCCAACACCCAAAGTCAGTAGTCTTCAATACCCATCTTGACTACTCTTCCGACTCTGAACCAAAAATTTTGACGCGGGTTCTGCTTATTCGGAAAAATCCAGAACCAACATGAATACCAATACCAACCAAAGATCCGGTGGCCGTGAGTTTTCTCGTTTTTTGCTTGGCCACAGGAGTGATTCTCTATTAAATCGAAACACGAGGCTGACGATTTGGTTCTTTTTTTGGATGACAAAAATATAGGAGTGTCCGATGACATGAGAGATTCTTCGATGAACCCAACGAAGGACATGATGTCCGGCATGGATAGCGGGATGGATGATAGTAAGTGACTAGTTTGAGAAGAGTGCCTTGCTTTGGAGAAGCTTTCCAGTTGACCGAGTTATAACATATTCAGACATGATGAACAGAGACCGTCAAGGGGAGGATCAAGGTTTAAGTAGGCCCTTTTTCAACCAACTTGTTTCTTGATGTTATAATTTTGGGCTTGCAGGTTTATTCGCACATGCTGACTATATCGTTTATGGTTCATGATCCGTTTATTATCAAAAAATCACCAGTGGGGAAGATGTCCTCGATGGTCGGAGGTATAAAGTGGCCCTGTTCGAAAGCATCAGTCTAAACCCATAACTGAAGATAATTCTCTCTGTTTTTTTGGTCACCAGGCAACAAGAATGATAACAACCAATCCTCCAAGATGATGGGCGGAGTCGCCGGAGGTCGGGACTCAAACCGCGGCCAACAAGAGGCGTCGATGGGCGACAAAGTTAAGGGCACTTTTGAACAAGCCAAGGGAAAAGGTTCGTTTCTTCTAAATCAAACTGGCACTTAAACATTAATGTTGACTGATTGGATACTTCTGAAATTTAATTTCTAGTCATGAATGACCCCCACACCGCCCGCAAAGGTGACATGAGAAAGGACCCCGCGGGTGCTGGTTCGAATGACTTCATGGGTGGTGCCGGCATTTGATCGAGGAGGCCAATTCTACTTGATCCCTTCCACTATTTTTTTTTAAAGATTTGTTCCGGGTTGATCGTCTGATCACACATGTACTCCAAAGTAATAAATACCTCTACCGTCCAAAGAATTGATTATCCCAAGCTTGGTTTTTTAAGACAATTTTCTACTTTTCTATGCAACTCCGATAAAAAAAAACCCCGGTTCTTTGTTGTTGTGTTATCTTGTAACGTTACACTTGATCTGAAAAGAAAAACGTTGCAGCTTGTAGAATTCGGTTGTGAATTTCTTGAAATCAGTGATCATTTCTGAAAAGTTTTCGTATTTCGGTAACAATGGTCTTTGATCTGAAAGCAAAATCCCCCCGCTAGATGGATTAAGAGGAACGATGAGCATGCAGTCCCACTACGTCGATTTGACGGCTGCTCCCCTGACAAAAATTATATAAAAGTCTATGCATTTTCAACTGGCCAAAAAGCTACCCAGCAACAATGTGTTTGCTCGAAACAAATGTCTCACATCCCAGCATCCCGGAAGGGTTTTTGAAGGCTTTGCTGCCTTCATGACCATTGAAACCTGCATGAACGATTCCTCCCTCTTCGATATTTCTCACTGGTTTTACAAATCAAGCGGGATATCCCCTGCCAAGCCATCGATCAAGTTATGGAGGATATTGATTCATATACGTACATATAGTGATGAACCCCGCCCCCAGCTGATAACTGAGGATAACCGGGTGAGATGGTAAGCCAAATGATAACTGGTGCAAACACTGATATTACAGACAATGACATCATCTCTTTTTCTTTTTGGCTTACACCGAAGGTCATGTGACGTGCCAAAAGAGAACTACATCGCCCGTTCTTAAACTATTGTAAGCCATCGATTATTCTCGCTCCGTCTCATCTTCTAGTGTCTCTTCAACAAAATAGAATATTATTTTCCTCGGTCAATTGTGTACCATTAGTGAGTAGAATTCGTTAAGGTCTTGCTTGTGAGTTGATAAGGAAGACTGATGACGGAATATATGGATGATCCTCTCGGATCGTATGAATACCTGACCAGCTTTTTTTTGTTACATTAACCGCGAGCGTGACAAGATGGGTAAATTATGATATGAACAATGGCTTGCAGCCCTCATGACTATGTATGCAGCGACAAAGCATTCAAGCTCGATCTCTTTTTTTTGGTGTGTGTGTGTGTGTGTACTGTCTGTGGTGTAGGCAATAGCTGGTCATCTAACGCATCGAAGACCAAGGATGGCTGGGTCCGAAAACCGTCGGCTTTTGGGGCCGGAAAGAAGCCGAAGAAGGACGCCGGAGGCCAAGGCGGAAACTCTAACATCCAGGGAAGCTCAGATAAGACATCTAAGAAATCGAAGAAATGTAAGGATCCGATTCAATCCATCTTGATCACTCATCTCTTCGACCCATCCTTCATTCTACTTCGATCATCTCTGGACTGATGTAGACTTCTTCATGAGTTATAATAAAGATCAATAATAGGGTTTGAAAGATTGTTGCTGATCGAACGTTTTTTTTTTGTTGGTGGGTTATAGCTAAATCTAGCAAAGGCTGGGTCCGGAAACCGTCGGCCTTTGGATCGAACCCTAAAAGGTCGAATAAGCATGCAGGCGTCCTCGGTAGCTTGGCCGCCGCCTCTGGTGCCACGGCCACCCACTCATCCCACGCCGACGGGGGTGGCTCAGGGTGCTAATGTAAAAAGAAGTTTGTTCCGTCTTTCTATTCGGTCCAAGCTCATTGCTCAAATTTCTTCATCATCCCTGCTTCTCTCCCGTACAATATCATATCTGGAATCACTCGCCTTTCAAGACGCTGATCAGGGCCTCATAACACTTTGTAGCTGATTCATATTAATCTTGTTTTTAATTGGCTAGAAAGGGCCTCTTCCTCGAAAGAAGAAAAAAACACGTAGGGAAGTTCTCGTTATCTAATATCGGACATCCATTCAAACCACACAATTCTACTTATTCCATCCCTTCGCATCTAATACAAAAAATAAAAAAGATTCATATTTATTTATTTATAAGGCTCTATTTGTTAGCATAATATACAAGTGTATGTACAAATAAAGCATGTCAAACCCCCAGTTAAAACATCCGTAATGAGTTCAGTGTGGATATCAACATTTACCAATACAAACTGACACTTGACAATCACAATTGCAGTTTCTTTGTCTTATTATGTCTCATGAATTACAGTGGAAAATGTGGCTCAAAGGGTTGGTTGTAACCTGGGTCTTCTTCTTCATTGCATCCTGACCATCCTTCATAAACAGTCTTGTTCTGCTTGCATTTAGTACTAGAGATTGTTCCGCCGTACTCCTTGCTAGGTACCTAGTACCGCTTGGGGGGTACTGCCCGCACCCGCCGTGCACCCGCCAGGCCTGGCAGTGCCAGGCACGGTGTGGTAGTCAAAAATGTGAAAATTAAAAGTTTTTTCTTTCTTTTTTTCTTATATATATTTTCTTCATATTATCTCTCACTCACTCTCAGAATTCACACCATACGGCTCAAGAACTGGACTCTACGGATAAATCCACCCTTGGTCACCACGGAGGCGACACTGGAACACACCTGGATCAACTCTTACCCAACACTGGACAACATATCACAAGGATTTCACCCATCATTACATATCACCAAACCCAATTACAACCCTCAAGCTACACAGACACCCTCAGTACAGTATACACTCATTTACATATACACTCATTTACATACATCTACACTCTTTACATTTCACTTCTACATATTACATCATACCTGCAGACTGAATTAGTGTATTTTCCTTGCATGACAGCTGCAGCTTACACCACCACACTCACTTGTAAACACCACACAACCTGACCAATCAGAATCACTCATTCATCTGCTTTGATCACCACTTCAACTCTTGTACACAACCTGACCAATCACATTCACTCATTCAACTTATGTATGTAGCTAAAATACCTCATGTAATAGCCCAGGCCAGCCAAAATCACTCATTACTGGCTGCCCTGGAGCTAAATTCCCTCACTGTTGTATATATAAGGAGGCTCTCCTCCCAGTTGTTTAATCCTCAGTCAAGTAACACTCAAGCAATATTTGACCACCTTACACAAACACTTTAAAGCGCCAACCAAACACCAAATCAACACTCTTCATCACACAACTCATTCCTGAACTTTACCCTATCACTTGATTAAAACTTTCCAAGCTAAGCTTGGTGGGTCTTGTTATCTGATAGTATAGAAGGGCAGAGTCTTCACTCCATCATCCCCTTCTCCATTCAGCAAAAAGGGTCTTACAGCCACTTTTTGAGTCTTACAACGGTACTCTGGCTGTAAAGCTAGAATTACTGGCTGTAAAGCTAAATATGTGCTGGGAAAACACCTTGACTGCCTGCCAAAATAGCTTTACAGGGGGCTGTACAACCAACCCACATGCCACCCAAAGTGGTGGGGTTTTTTGGGATTTGGGGTGGTAAATGTAGATATTGTTCTTTTGTACTTGGGTACCCTTTGCTGCCCAGGTACCTGTTCAATGTTTTACAAAAATAGGTGCCAGGTACCACACCCAGCACCGCCTGGTGGGTACCACTGGAACTTTTGGCAGGTACCCAAATTTCAACAAAAAAAATATGGGATATCAAGTTTTTTTACTGTATATCCAGTACTGGACATGAAGTACTGTTGAAAGTATGGTCACTTTTTTCATTTTTTTCATATTTATTGTAAAATATTCAGCCCCCCCCATCCTATGTTAGGGAATTGGGGAGGTACCCAGGTATTGCCTGTTTTTTTTTTTTTTTTTTTTTTTTTTTTCAAAAACAGACACCCAGCACCTTCTTGAGGTTGCACAGTGGGTGTTGGCAGTAACTGCCAAGGGGTGCTGGGTACTGATGAACAATCTTTAGGTAAATGGTACTTATCACCCCAATTTACCACCTGCGGTGGAGTGGATTTTACAAAGTATTTTTTTTTTCAAATCCCTTGTACTGAAACTACACATTTCCCCATTGATGTACGTATTGCTTTGCAAGGATTCAAATTCAAAAGTCCTTCTATATCGTAAAAAGGACTTGATCAAACTCACCTAGCCTGATATTGATTTTTGGCATAAATCATAATTGATCATGTTTTCTCTATATGTTCCTGAACAAACAAATGGGACACCAATTGGTGCCAGAATGGATTTTGTGGAATTTTCAACCTTTTTTTTTGGTGTTTATTTGGGGCCTTAATAAAAAAACCCGCATTTTCCGCGTTTTGACGCGCTTTTGCTGCGGCACAGCACACGCGCAATCCGTGTTTAAACCCGCTTTTTTAATTAATTTATTTTTGCCATTAATTTCAAGTTTTTTTGATTTTTTAAAGTTGTTTCCTACACTTTAAAAGGTGTAGAATTTAATGGTAAAAACCATTTTCCTTAAAAATGAATTTTGATTATTAATTATTTTTTTCACTCATTTTTCAATTAATTGTTTGCTTTAAGTTTTGGGAGTTGATCAACCGACTCCCAAATATCGGAGAGTCGACTCCCAAACCCGGGTTTCCCCGAAATTTGGGAGTCGATTCCCCAAACCCGTCAGTGGGTTTGGGAGTCGGCCTCCAAAAAAAATTAAATAAAAAAAAAGAAAACCCCCGGCAGGGTTTGGGTGTCAATGCCAGAACCAAAAAAAAAAAACCGACGGCCGGGAGGATTCCTCCCAGCCTCTGAGAGTGCTCTTGACAGCCGAGAGAAATTCTCTCAGCCGTCGAGGGTCTACAACCTCAACAGCTGAGAGAAAACCCTCTCGGCCGTTGAGTATAACCCTCAACGGCCGAGAGGGTTTCTCTCGGAGGTCAAGGGTGTACACCTCAATGGCCAAGGGAAACTTCTTGGCCGTCGAGACCTCAACGGCCAAGATACCTCTCGGCCGTCGGAGGTGTAGCCCTCAACGGCCAAGTGAAACCTCTCAGCCGGGTGTACACCTCAACGACCGAGAGGAATGTACGACCAAGAGGGTTTCCTCTCGGTCATTGAGAATGTATACCCTCAACGGCCGAGAGTGTACCTCCTGGTCGTTGAGGGTATACACTCTCAACGGCCGAGAGGATTCCTCCCGGGCGTCAAGGGTGTACCCTCAACGGCGTGTGCCTCTCGGTTGTCGAAGTGTACACCCTCGATGGCCGAGAGGATTTCCCTTGGCCGTTGAGGTGTACACCCTTGACGGCTGAGAGGTTTCTTTGGGCCGTTGAGGGTTATACCCTTAACGCCCGAGAGAAATTCTCTCGGCCGTCCATGAAGCACTCTCGCCGGGAGGAATCCTCCCGGCCGCTGGTTTTATTTTTTTTTATCACTGACCCCCCAAAACCACTTGCTTTTGGGGCATCGACTCCCAACCCCTCCGGGGTTTTTCTTTTTTTTTATTTAATTTTTTTTGAGGGCCGACTCCCAAACCCACTGACGGGTTTGGGGAATCGACTCCCAAATTTCGGGGAAACCCGGGTTTGGGAGTTGACTCTCCAATATTTGGGAGTCGGTTGATCAACTCCCTAAGTTTTTTACCTCATTTTTCAAGATTTTGTGTAACTTTAAAGTTGTTTCCTACATTATTAAGTGTGTAGAAATTTCTGGTGAGATCCAATTTTCATAAAAATGAATGGATCATTTTTAATAATGCAATTACACCCATTTTTTCACTGAAATTTTTTGAGCTCAATTTTCATTCTTTTTTCACATTTTAAACTTTTTTCCTACACTTTCAGACATGTATAAATTTATGGTAAAAATTATTTTGAATCAAAGTGAGAACTACATCTTGTATACTGCATTGGACACTGTTTTTTTTATTTAATTCTTCACTTTTTCACTCCATTGTTTGCATTAATTTTTTTACCTTATTTTTTCTGCTTTTTTGAAATTTGAAAGTTGTTTCCTACATTTCAAAGTGTTTAGAATTTACTGGTAACATTCAATTTCCATAAAGCTCAACGGTTCAGTCTAAATACTGTAATCAGCCTTAAAATTCAATTGATTTTTAAGAGCTTAATTTTCATGATTTTTTGACATTTTAAATCTGTTTCCTACACTTTCAGACATGTATAGAATTATGGCATAAATTAATTTGCATCAAAATGAAAAATGTACCTGGAATAAAGCCTTTGACATGTTTCTTTAATTAATTCTTACACACTTAATTATTCTTATTTTATGGAATTTTAAGTTCATTTCCTACACTTTGAAAGGTTTTCAAATTGTTGGCTGTATCAATTTTGCATTCAAATAAAATTTGTATACAGTACAAATTATGCAAGAAATGGTGTACACTCTTATATTAAGATTGAAGCTTTTCTTTTGAGGCAAAATGAATTCTACCATTGAATTCTACACACTTTTAGATGTAGGAAATGGATTTAAAATTTCAAAAAATGATTAAAATTGCGCCGGTAAAAATTAATTAAAAAAAAACATGAAAAAAAACCTGTCCCACGCAGTATTCATTACAAATCTTTGGTTGTTATGCAAAAAGACTTTTACCATCATTTTAAATATGTCTTAAAGTGTGGGAAATAAATTTAAAAATTGAAAAAAGAATGAAAATTAAGCTGTAAAAATTGAAGTGAAAAAAGTGTCTAATTTCAGTATTCAAAGTGAACCGTTGAGTTTTAAAAAATTTGGATTGCGCCATTAAATTCTGCATGTTTTAAAACCTAGGAAATAATTTTAAAACCTCAAGAAAACTTAAAAAATAAAGTACATACATGCATGCAAACAATTAATTGAAAAATGAGTGAAAAAAAATAATTTATAATCAAAATTCATTTTTAAGGAAAATGGTTTTTACCATTAAATTCTACACCTTTTAAAGTGTAGGAAACAACTTTGAAAAATCAAAAAAACTCGAAAGTAATGGCAAAAATAAATTAATTAAAAAAGCGGGTTTAAACACGGATTGCGTGTGTGCTCTGCCGCAGCAAAAGCGCGTCAAAACGCGGAAAATGCGGGTTTTTTTATTAAGGCCCTTTATTTTTTTCTTTATTACTTTTTTTTTCTGTTTTTGGTTTTGACTAATTTTACATCTTTTTTTGGTACACTCTGCATGAACATTAATGTATCCAGGATATCTGCTTGTGCATTTTGAAGTGTTATGACTTGAGCATGGATTCAGAGCTAGTTCCTTGATCCACTGTGCTGGTCCCCTTGTCCACTGTGTTTGATTTCCTCTTCTCTACGGCGTTGATCTATTGCTCTTTTCTCATTGATAATCACAGTTACTGGGCTGAATATAGTGGGTGGCATTGCAGCCACAGCTTCACAGGTTTGACCTGGGTGGGGGTAACCACAGGCAATGCAGTTCTGACCATCCGCAGGTGGCTGGTAATACTAACAGGGATTGAAGTATCCCCACATTCTTCGCTCCATGGAATGACAATTGTTGATGAGGAAGCCATAAAGCAGTGTTGCAGAAAAAAGCTAGACATAGAACTGGTGCATCATGAACAAGATTGTTTGACAAGGTCTTGGGTTGTCCTGATGTATGCAATGCCTGTGAATTGAACAGTGGATCAAACAGTGCTGAATGACAATGGTGCAACAGGGTGATAATCTGACTGTGCTATGTCAAAGGGGAACAGATGGTGTGCAGACATAGACTATAAAACCAACTGATGCTCAACTTGATCACAAACTTCTGTCTGTTATTGGTCACTTGATTGAAAATTGCCACCAGTTTATCATTGTCTCTATTTATTGAGCTAGAAGCCAAGGAAGCGAGTTTGAGAGTGGAACAGAGGAAATTATGGCTGGTTTGACTCAAGTGGGTGCTGCCTCCACTAACTTGTAACAAATCCCGCACTTCTGCAGGCCTGGTGGCTGGTTGGTGCCACTTGCAAAGCAAGCCTCCAAAGGAGGGACTTGTGCCTAATATGCACATGCTTGTGTGTCACTATTGACATGTTTGGATGTGCCAATTCTTGGATTGGCCAGCGTGAGTGTAGTTTAGGTTTGCTTCAGGGTAGAGTCACAGTGGTCAAAGTTGACCACTTTTCCAATCTTCTCGTCAAATTTTTGGGGATTTTTCCTGAAATTCAGATGATGAACGTTAAGAAAGTCATTCATTAGAATTTTCTGCACAAAAAACACTCTAAAGATTTGAAAGCAACACATGGTTGTGTTTGTTTTAGATACAAGCCCTTCCCACACTTTGTGCGGTAGACAGAGAAGCTGAGGAAGCTAGCTGCTTCCAGTGAGCCATGTTGCACCCCAACTTACATGTATTACCAACCAAAAAACAATTTTGACAGGGCATGGCCGGCAAGAATTTCCCCTCCTGTTTTGGATGTAGATGAGTGGTTCAAGGCTGTAAGCCTCTGGTCATATCCTTCCAAGTACGGCATTGATAGGTACCAATGCAGAATGAACTTACTCTGCAAGAAGAAGTCAGACAACTGTGTACAATTGACATGTGATATTAGAAAGGCACCATTGTAATATCACATCTCAACTGTACACAGTTATTTGACATTTTCTTGCAGTGAATTACTAGGTAGAAGAAACTATCAATAGAGATTAAGATCAAATCAAAACTACCTGTAATGTATTGATTGAAAAGATTAGAGTATAACTTGATAATGACCAGATGATGATGATGATAAATAAAAAAAAATAAAAGTAAAAAAACAAGTTGAGCAGAGAAAAAACAAAACAAAAGATAAAGATGAAGGGATGATTAACAAGATGACAAAAGACGAAGCCAGGAGAGAGACAGAGAGAAATGGAAGGTTAAAAGATCTAAGGGAGGTTTTTTTGATGAGCGAGTTTCTTGAAGGAGTTGGATAAGTTCTCGTAGACGAGGAAAGCAACGCAAGTACCGGGAAGGACTCTGACCGCATTAACAGCAAGACCCTTGTAGAAGGCCTTGATCCCCTCGGTGCGATAGGTATGCAGGATACAATGAGCGATCGATCGGTAATGTACATCACCAGTTGAGGGTGTGAGTGGTGAGGGTATCGGAATAGAGTTCGATGGTCGTACGGACTGGGTGGAGCTGTTGAGGCCCTTGGATTGACGGACAAAGAGTTGATTCTACAAAGTTCGAGAGGGATCAAGTCAGATGAAAATGAGTCAGTGACCCTACGGCAGCCGACTGGATCTATGCCGTCTCCCAAAAGACTCAATACTTGGTAGAGGAGATTAGGAGACTCACTTGGAGTCGAGAGCGAACAACTTGGTATGGATAGGTGATGCCGATGGCCAAAAGCTTTGAGGCACCACTTAGGAGGATATATTCTAGATTACTCTATTGTGAAGTACACGACAACAAAAAAGAGGGGATAAATTAGCAAGCAAATTGGATAATTATCAAGATGATACAGAGGTTGACGGGATGGTAAACTTACGAGGGGGAGGATCTCAGTTTCTGTGGAATTCAGGGATCGTTGAGGATCGGGACGGATGAGATCTTGTCTCCATCGTTTCAGTTCCTCGTATGTCATGAATTGAATTGCCCCATTGGAGACGCCGATCAAGGCTAAGACGGAGCCTTTCCAAAGCCCTCCGAGGCCTTCCTCTTTTGAGATCCTAACCAGACCATCTTGATTATCAACGTCCAAGTATAAATCAGTTGTTTATTTGTTCGTTTTTTCTTCTCCTCGTCACAAAAAGGGCCAAAGAAAAAAAAAAAAGGGAATACTGACCCCATAAATTCTTGTATGCTCCTGAATCTTCTGCTCGGCTCGTGAACATTCGCGTCTTGACTACCCATAACGGATTGGTTATCATCGCTGTCATTATCCCTGATGATGCGGATGCAAATAGATGTTGTGAGGCCGATAATTTAATATTTCTTCCCTCAGAATCCGTCGACATCCGATCTTTAATCATCGAATACCTTCCAAAAAGAAAAAAAATGATAATGACAGAAAAAAAGAAAAACACAATTTGATGAGTAAGAAAAAGCACAAAAATATACAGGCAGATGTTGGAGAAGAGAAGAACGAACCACATAAAATAGAACCCCCAACTAGCAGCATTGCCGACGATATTAGGAGTCAATCCACGATAAAGGCCAAAGAAGCCGTCATTTCTGATGATTTGATGAAGGCTTGAAAGTGACTTCGAATGGACGAGTGAAGGGGCAGAAGTAGTTGCATGTAGGGAGATATGATTTGCCAATAAAGGTTTTGAGGAGACTTGGAGTTTGACTTTGAGCAGGTCGAGAGGGTGCATACAAAGCACCGAGATACATCCGGCCCCGATCCCTGAAACCGCTTGGTCCTTTGGCGATCGTCATCATCGTTCCATTCATCGAATCACAGAGATCACTGAATTAGCTCTCCCTTCTCTCTAAGAAAAAGATATGGATTGTGAAGAGGAGAGGATGAGGAAGGGGACTGACGATGGCTGGCGTTCCAAATAGACTCTCGTCTCCACTTCCCCGTGAGTTTTCTGGCATCAATCGTCGCTCCGCAAAGTCCCCGTCGATTCGGTTGAGCCTCCTGGCTTGGCTTGATTTGGTTCGGCTTGGTTTATGGGTCTTTCCAACCAACGACCACCACCAGACTGCTTCGATATTTTCTTGCAGTCTTCTGCTTCATCCTACCCCCGGACACCACACCCCGACACACTCCGGGTTCGGGTCAGGTCACGGGTCGGCTCAAAGGGGCTGTGATCTCAGACTCAAAGCCATTTAAGAATTTTTTTCCAATTTTTTTCTCTTTATTTCTTTCTTTTCCCTCTATCATCCAATTTCGCAAGAATATTTACTTGTCAGCATATAGCAGTTAATTGCAGAATAGTTTGGTTAGACCTGCGGGGTTATTTGATATTAGACAACTATGTAGTTCAGATAGTGATAGATTTAAAAGGCTTGTGATAGGTTTCATTAGATTATAGTGTGACATGTGAAATCAATAACACTTAAAAAAAAAAAAAAAAAAAAAAAGCCCAATAGTCCGACCTCACTCAATTTCTAATTATGAGCATATTGAGACAAAGCAAACCATTTACATAATCAAAAGAGAAAAATGGATGAAATTATCAAAACAAATACATACAATCATGATCCCCCAATGGATAGTAGCCATAATCACATTAGAACCCAAAAAAGAGATGGTATGCAAAGAGTTTTGGGCATGATGAGTGCCAACAAAAATCAATGATTCCCCACCTACAGCATCCTCTGGTTGGACCACTCTTGCCCCTGCTGGAAAAGGAAGCATCCTCCCAAGCAATCCATGAGAATATTTCACCCACTGTTTCTCTGTGATGGGACAGGCTCTCAGAGAGTCTGAGAGATATCTGGGGGGGGGTATTTCTCTTTTGAAAATTGTGCTTGTCACCACTGCCCAAGAAAAATATTTGACATTCTCAGAAGCTCCCTTCAAAAAAAATGATTTGTGTAGTGCAAGATGAGAATGGCAACCTGGGGTGGAGTAGTTGTGAATGGATGAGGAGAGGTGTCCATTCGGAAAACACTGGCCAAGATACACCCAGTGAATCTATGGCATGTGAGTGAACTGAGCTACAAAAGATGAGGAGCATACAGATGAGAAACAAATGAAGCCATCACTAACTTGGCATACTGGGTCATATAACTCATAAGGGATCTTGTGCTTGATGTGACAATTTGGCTCCATGCCCTCAGGCAAGATGAGTGACATGAAATGCAAGTCCCTCCCTATGCAAAGGGGCCCCTCACTACAAACAATACCTATTTTTCCCCAAGGATAAACAGCAATTTCAAGATGAATCAGGAGCAGGGATTAGGCTAAAATGAGCTATTTTAGCCCAAAAGTAAAGATGCTGCAAACATTCCAAAAGTAATGTTTAGCTCACTTGAGGCATTTTTCTTTTTTGGCTAAGACAGCTCATTTTAGCCTAGTTTTTACTCCCGAGGAATTTTATGAAAAAGTGTGAGAAAATCAACCTGTTTTCCACCACCCAAATTTACATTTTTCTTGGGGCAAAATCAGCATTGTTTGCAGTGCCTTGTGTTGAGTTTGGCGGCTGGTAGCCTCAAATCTCAAGGCCAAAAGTTTGTGTAGCCTATATTAGGCCCCGTTTGGCCGCAAATCATTATTTGTGATTTGGCTAAGTTTGGCTGGGATTTGGACCGTGCGATATGAAACAATATAATGTTTTTGCACAAACTCCTGCCAAACCTCAACTCAAAATTACAAATCATGGACGGCCAAACGGGGCCTTAGTTGTATAGAGCAAGATGACAGTTTGGATCTAACCTCTTAATTCCCCCTCAAAACCTGTAGAACATGTGTATCTACATGTCAGTCAGTGTGAAGCTCCTACATTGAGAGGTGATGATCACCCTTTCAATACATCTTTTCACTTTGTTTTGTTTTTATCTCATATTCAGTTGATTTGGATGATTGCTTGGATGTCTACACATTATGTATAATTTTCTTGTCTAGGTACGTGCTAGATTACTACATACTATAGCACCTTGTTTCATGTTGAAAGCTTTGATTCAAACTTTTATTGCAGGCCGGAAGGTTCAGGCAATATTCATTTATTTCAGTCAAATAACAACCTGGACAAGTCTAGCAAAGTAATTATCACAAAAATCATGATTGACAAATGCTGTTTTACCAACATGAGCCAGGCTCTACTGAGTTTTTTTTTTTGCTGTATGGATGTACTCATGGTGCATTCTGATCACGCTGTCAAGGTTATGAATGTTGATCCTTATTTCAGATCTTACATGTATCAGCAATCATTCTAGTTGGATTTTAAGTAGTACATTTATGTACTGATCATCAAAAGAAACACTAGGTATACCAAACCTGTCTGAAAATATCAATTTTCATCAAGAAACAATAAACAATAAACGAGTCAATTGAGAGTTACAAGAGATACATAAATAAATGAGGAGGAGACAGTGACAGAGATAGACTAATTGATTTAGCACGTTTATCATGGGTAGTCGATTCC